TTTTTACTTCCAACAATATGTTAAGATACATTGTCACGTCACCAATATATAAAATTATTGTGTATTTTACACAACTTTTTATACCGTCATATCAGCATATTTCCTTTTTCCTCCCTATTTCTCATCCCATTAACGAATCAACTCTATATTAAGATATATTTTTACACAAAATGTATAAAACAACGCTGGAGCTAAAAATAAATAATTCGAAAATTTTTGTGTAAATTTATTGTGACACATCATATTTATAAAAATAAATAAAATAAAATAAAATAAAAATAAATAAAAAAAAAAGAGCACAGTTGGAGATGCTCTATTTGGGAAATTTGGGATCCCTTTTGTGTAATAATAATTGTGGGTGATGTGGCTTTACAAATTAAAGAAAGTAAAACAAAATTATATTACTAAAAAATAACTTTCATATAAGCTATTGATCTGACTTTTGATCCATAATCACAAACCTAGTGAAGGCCAGTGGGAGCAATTGCCTATAAAATTTGAATTATATACTTATTTATCTATAAATTATATACTTTTATTTTTTATGAATTATATACCTATATTGACTGAAATTATAAAAATAAAAAATAAAATAAAATAAAAATAAAAATAAAAAACCGCTATTGCCCCCACCCCATGGTTGATTTTTTTTTTAACTTTTTGCTGTTAGTGATCCATGTCACATAATTTTCTGAATTCATCCCTTTCTATAATTCTTAGAATCGGATCCTTTCCTTGAATCCTATCCCTTTTAAGAGATCATGTGCACTGGTATAATATAATTATATATATTAAATTGCAGGGCAGTTACATTAACGCAGTTATATCACAATGCAATATGGCTGTATCTCACAGAATGCAACACTCATGCTACAATTTTTAAAAGTTATGCAAACATATTTATATTGAAAATACAACGTCTGTGTAACATATTATATTATATTGCAATGTTAAAACACCATTAAATTAAGAATTTAACACGCTTTTGTAAATATTACATTCACAATATAAAGTTATTGCATTAGACACCGGAGAAAATATTTGTTCTCATTCTCATTGCTTATATCATCCATAAAATCTGGAAATAAACCTCTGCATAGTGTGTTGAATCAAGTTTTGGAAGGTAAAGTACTATAGATTTTGTTAAGTTATGAATAAAAGAAATTTTCTATTTACACTAGTTGTTTTCTTTCTTCCTCTTCTTTTATTTAATTTTTTTTTTTCCCCCTCTTCTTTTCTCCAATTCATCTTATTCTTCCCTTCTTGTTTTCATTCATTCAAAATTTAAAATAATCATGAACCAAAATAACTTCCCTTTACAACCTTATCTTTCTCAAACATGTCTACAAATCAATCAAGGAAATAGAATGACCAATCAAATCACTATAATGTTGCATTCTCCACACACACACACACACACATGGTGGCTTAATTTGTTGGATTTTTTTTTTTTTTTTTTTTTTTTTTAAGAGTACGTGTATCGGCCTCATGACATACGTATTATTTAAGTTAAGAGTGCAATTCAAAAGCAAAATCTCAAGAATTTATCTTTCAAATTTCTGCCAACACCGTTAAAACTCTTACATAACTATTTAATGAAAACTGATATCTTTACTACATAATATATTCTATTGAGTACTGCAACTGACAGTGATTGATTTTATGTATCCTTTGAGTGATGCTACAAAGATTCACTAATATTGACTCCAATAAATACTTGTCAATATAAGATGAGGAACTCTTCCTTTAAGGTGTTAAAATCAACAATTGTCACGTCAACGGCGTTACTTCTATTTATTTATTTTCATTTCGTATGTTGTAATATTAGTGGATTGAAATCTTGTAATTAGTGGTTAAGAAAACTTGTAGGAGGACCCCAAACAAATTTAGAAACCATTTACATAAACACAAAGTGCACATATAAAGAGAATGAAATCATTTGTTTATTTGATAGGCTTGTTAGGAGGGAAGGAACAGGAAAGGTTGTAATAAATAAATAAATGACAGGGCGAAATCTGTTACATAAATCAGAACTTGGGGTCTATGTGAGATATTGACAACTTTCAGAGCAGAAAAGTTGAAGAGTGGTAAGTGAGATTATAAAAAGAGAGACTTATGTGAGATATTGACAAATTTCAGGGGAGGTAAGTTGAATTTACCCTTATTTTATTATTATTATTTTTTTTTAAATGGGAAAAAGAATCTGGAGTTGTTACACAAGTTGGGTGTTGGGAAAATGTGTGGTTACATTTTCAAACATATATGTATCAAAGTCCATGTATAATCCAATGCTGATTAATTTGCCACAAAGAATAAATTATTGCCCTTGTACAAATCCACAAGTAATTCTTCCAATTAGTAGCATTCACTATTAGCTCTCCATATAAGAGTGCAGTATGAGATGGCACAATTTTAACGGTTTCAAATAATTAATTGTTCTTCTAGCTTTAATTGGCAAATCGCTCAGCTTTTCGAATGAAGTGTGTATTCATAATCGAGTCCCCCTCCCATAATTTGCCAAGATTTTAAAAAATATTTTTTTTTTGAAAATGTGATGACCAAAACCAAAATCTAATAAGAATTTAACCATTAGATCCATAACTTAAATAATAGATATATTAATATCTTGTTAATTAAACACATAATAGTAAATAAATGCCATAATACACTATAGTATAGAGCCCTTATGATAAGGTTAAGAGTCAAAAACCATGAAAAAACAAATTTGTTTCCACGAGGCACCATTGTGGAAAGACTGTGTGTGTATATCGATCACATGTGCATGGATCTCCACTGATGTAGACAGTATTGAGAAATTTGAGTATGAGATCTACGAAACGAATATTGATAGTGATCTTTATGAGCTAGATTCTTCCAAAGGGTAGAGAGGGATGGTTTGGGGACCATTTACTTAACCGCAACGGTGGTCAAGAGGTTAAGGAGTTTTAAGGAGGCGAATCATAAACTCAGACGTTTTATGTTCAATTCTTATTAGAAATAAAGACATTCGGATATGAATGATACGTATGATTTGCGAATGATTACAAATATTCAAAATTTATCTAGGCCGGTGGTTGGAAGATTCTCCATTTCTAAAAAAACGAATGCGTAAGCACCCAGCACTTTAAATTTTGAGATTGCAACGTTATTAATTCGAGAATTCAATTTTGTTGTGAATATGTTTCATTCTTGATTTAATAATATTGTTGTGTTGTTTCTAAAAAAAACAAATGCGTAAGCATCTAGAACTTTAAATTTTGAAATTGTAGCGTTATTAACTCGGAGAATTCAATTTTGTTGTGAATACATTTCATTCTTGATTTAATAATATTGTTGTGTTGTATTTTAACAGAATAAGTTTCACACTATGAAGCACGAACACTCTTTCCACGGGTCCCGTATCAGTGTCGGACACTTTTCGGACACGGACACGATTGTCCGAGGCTCGGACACGTGTCTGACACTTCTATGAAGTGTCCAAAAATTATTTTTTATTGGACACGGCTCGGACATGGCGGAGTATATTTTGTAATTTTTTTTAAAGATAAATGGGGTACCTAATGTAATTTTTTAAAAGTTTAAAAGTAAAATTTTGAAAAAATAAAATAACAACTACAGACAACAAAGGATTACACAGTAAATTTATTTTCTCTCACTTCCTCTCTCAGTCTCTCCTCTTCTTTAATTATCTTTGTACATGAACAAAACTTTGTGAAAGACTGAAAGTATATATGTTTATTCATGTACATATTTAGCCCATTATAACTATGTCTTTTCTACACATCTTCGTTTGGAATTTGGATTAATTTTACTTTTCATTTATTTTATGTTTTGTCTTGTCTATGTTTTTCTTATAACAAAGATGAAATTATTGAAATTAGTCATGTTATTTGTTGTTATTTTATTTGTAATTTTGTATTTATATATACCTTTTGTTATTAAGAAAATGAATGTACAAGATTCTAGTAATTATATTTTGAATATATAATTATATATATATTATTTTATAGGCGTATTCTGTATTCGTATTATGTCGTACACATATTCTGTGTCGGTGTCCGTGCTTCATAGTTTCACACTTGCATTCTCGAAGTTTCCATATTTGTTCGGTACAAAGTATCTTTCCATCTCCATATTTGTTCGGTACAAAGTATCTTTCCATCACTAATTTGGCATTCGCTATCTCTACTGCACCAAAAGTATATATATTGATGGCATTGCCACTTGCTAAAGGAAGCATGGGTGATCATTAGAATCTCAAACAAATTTTTTGAACAGAAAGAAAATAATTTAATGGTGCAACGCACTCACTCAACTAAGGAGTAATTTGAGGTCAATTGTACTTCGTAATTTTTAAAAAAATAAAAAATAAAAAATAATAATTATGGTAAGCTGTGGTGCAAGGTGTCATGTGCCACACGTAATCTCTGTGTATGGCTCATGGCTTGCCACGTGGACCATTGCTGTGGATGATGCAAAACCATTGTCTTTCAATGCTTCTTCAATTAGAAAAATGGGGAATCTTGTTAAGAATCAACTGGATTGGATTGGACAAGTTGAGAACTCCATCCAACTTCAACTCCTCAAAATGTTCAAGGAAAGTCAACCTGAATTTTTCAACTTTAATTGTGCTCGATTTGGGAAGGGTTGGTCACAAATTTGGATTCTGATTGATTGTTCACCCTCCATCTAAAAAATAAATATATAATCATTATAAATGAATAGATTATTTATTTTTTAAAATTAAGAAATTATAAAATTAAAACAAACCATCATTAAGTAAACATTTCAATAGAGGAAATAAAAATTAAAAACAAAAAAGCCCAACCCCTGTTATAAAACACTGCCCAGACACATAAAAACTGTAATTGTGCTAGGTTTTATGTGTTCAAAGAATATTTACATGGTCATCCAACCTATACAAACTCCAACCTTGTATCCAAAGAAAATTGTCACCTAGAACCACAAAGAAATGCCATAATACTGCGGTAGTCACTATGAAACAGGAAAAATCACTGGCTAATTGAATAAACCATCTTTACATTGAGAAGGGAATTCAAATGCCACAAAAGCAAGACACACCAACTCTTCCAAATTTGCCACCAATATTGTCCATACTTAATTGAATCCAAACAACAATTTCAAATGTTCTTGTCAAGATTTACAGCATTGCAGCAGTCTGATCCATAGGGAAAACTGTGTCGATACAAAATATACATTTAGTGCCACAACAGCAAAAAAAAACCAGAACAAATTCTAGGGCAAAAAGGTAAGGGGTGACAGTTCAAGAAAGAGTTCGCTTGTTGAAAGATTCCACAGTCAAGTTGGCAGTAAAAGCTGGAATCGAGTTCAAGTTCCGAATAAATATATCGACCTGCAAGAACAGAGGCCACAAAAAAGTCGTGAAATATTAAGTGCAAATCATATATCATAACCACACAAAAATGTTGTATATCAGGTAGAGAAACAGCGGCAACCAGGCTACTTCTCTGATGACAACTTTTCTTGCTTTAAGGTTTCCATTCCTTCCACATACCAAATACAGAAAAATGCTACTCTTTTTGATAACCGAATTTAACAGAATAATGTTGTTCCCTTAGAGAACTTATTTTGGGTGCAGCACGCATGGTAATACCATCACTTCTCAAAGTGTCATTTGCACATCTGCGTCAAAAAATCTACCCCCACACAGCCCCTTAAATGGGGCAGCCAGACATTCATTTTGCAAACCAAACAAAAGCTGGTTTTAAAATCATAACATTCTACGCTTGGCAATGACTAGTAGGAATTTTGGTGTAATTGGCGTCTTATAACCTGTCTAGCGATGTTTAAAGAATCAGTAAACTCGGATAGGAAACTCTGCCTAGGTTATAAACAGTAATTGCGGTCATGCACAACTCCTGGAAGTAGTAGGGCTGCAATGTTTAGCAAGTTTTATTCGACCTGTGAAAGTGATTTAGTATTCACTAATAAGTTCAACGTTGTTTCTTTCAGTAACCGTCAACGAGAAATGGCAACTATTTCCTACAGAAATTTAGAAATTGTAACTGTAATATAGATATTAATAAATTACATTGACTTTCCCCAAAGTTTGATGAAACTTTACCCGGATGGCAAAAATGGCAAAATTACACTGACCTCTGTCAGAGTTTAGCGGCTTAACAGATGTTAACAGATCAGCTGAAATGCCTTTTATACCATTTTTTTGTTTATTACTAATATATAATAATGTTTGTAGAGATAAAAATAAAATTTAAAAAAAAAATGCCCTAAATTAATCTCTCTTTCATATCTCTCTAACTCTGCACATCTATCTTTGGCTCATCTGCATCCCTCCACATCAACCACTACCACCTCACTCTGCCATCACCTCTGCTTTTATCTCCATTAAAGCATTTCAATGATATATTGGTCTTTCGCCTGGGTGAAGGGCAATATCAGCATGAAAAAGACTTGGACTTAACGGCCCTAACAGCTATGTAACGGCAAGGGGTTAATTGATCTGCCACATCATACCTCGGGGGCCAGAGAAATTTTGGCTAATTTCGCCACGCATGTGTAATTATGCCAAACCTCAGGAGAGGTCAATGTAATTTAACACAAAATGTAGTGATCAAAAGATTTTATTGTATTGAATCAAAATTCATCACAAAAATTGGATCAATTCAAGAAATTTGAACTTATGTCTCACCAATGACACTTCATTTCCGATCCAAAAGTATTAGGTCAAAAAAGAGATTCTAACCCCAATTTTCAAAATGACAGTTGAAAGAACTGAGCCAAAATAAGTATCCCACCTAGATTTATTTAATTTTTCAATCTTGGAACCATTGGTTTAAGATTTGACATCAACAAGGACCTAAAAATAACAAAATTAAGATGGAAATGTGTTTCTAGGATATTTTGGAAAGTAAAAATGTCATGATCTGGCTTAAAACTGACTTTTTAAGCTCACGTGCTGAGCAGATCATTGTGGCCTCATGGCAGGCGTCAGCCACTATCTAACAACGCTAGGCAGGCAACATCCGTTATACATGTGAAGCATCCTCTCATTGGATACGGGATAAAGGTGAACGGACTCCCCAATACCATGAATAAAAGGCATGATGAAACAGCATGGTTTTTAAAACAATGATCTCTAAATAAACATAAATCAAATCTACCAACATAACAACTCGCCACTTAATCAAAGTACACCCTTCAAGAAATTCTACTATTTTGCTTCCTAGTACAGAAAAAAAAAAAAAAAAAAAAAAAAAAAAAAACACACACACACACACACATTCCCCAATACAAAGCCCCATTATATTGCGACTAAATTAAGTACCATTGGTAAAAGTTTCACAGAAATAACCTGGTGTACTTTGGCTCAGGAAGGAATAAAGAAGCAAAACGACCTTTTGAGATCAAAATAACTACACACTTGAAAAGGAAAGTTGCAGAGAATCATATTTCATACCTGATGGGATATCTCAGGGTGCGAGGTGTAATCATTTGCCTATTGCATGAAATAAGAAAATTAGTTTAAAATGCTTATTAATTTGGATTTCAGGAAAATGAAAAATATATACATAAAAAGAGGATGGCCATTCTATAAATCCTAGAATAACACTAAACATTCAGAGAGTGCTTCAGATATCAAACACTATAAATTCAGTAGACAAGAAAATGCTATGTAAGACGCAATGGATTGATTTCAGTTCTATAAGGATGTCCAAGCACCCGACTACATGACCTGAATTCTACAAGTCCCTCTTACCAAAATGTTTGTATTCCCCGATTCATATTCAAATTGAAGTTTTTCATCATCACTTTGAGCATAGATAGATTGAAGGGTAAAACGTGTAACTGGAATTCCATCAGAACGCTGGTGATCATCCATTACAATCTGCAAAGAAGAACATTTACTAAAATGAGAACATATAAATATTTGGAGAGACAATAGCAAGTTCTATCCAGACAAACTTGTTGATGTGGAAACAATATGCAAAACTGACTTGTAGGAAACATATGTTTGTATGACTGAGAGTACTAAATAAAAACCAATAGAAGTAAAATTAAAATGCAGGGTTGTCAAGGGTCCATATAATAGCTTGTAACAAGCTCTTAATGGTACAAGAACAAACTGTTTTTACTTGAGAAAAAACACCTTAAATTGATTTCAAAATTGACTATTGGATGCTTTAACAACTCAAAGGAGTTGAGTCACCCATCTATATAAAGGAGTATGTTTTATTTTCTTTTATTCATATGAATCAAGTATCAACAAACAAGAAGTTGCTTTTACTTTTTTCAGGTGTAGTTTTTTTTATTGAATGCTCCTCTATGCAAACTGTTTGCCCTTTTTCTCTGACTAGTAAACTTAGAATTTCATTATTCTTATTTTTCTTTTCTTTTCTTTTTTTTTTTTCTTTTTTTTTGTGGGCGTGAAAGAAAAAAAAATTAACTATGTCACAATTTTGTCAGAGCTTCCATCCCACGCACTTATAAAAATTATTTGCAGATTCAAATTACCTATGCTCATTCAACACTTTTCTCTCTTTCAGGTGTAAACACATTTTTTGGTTATTTAATATATAAGTTTCCAAAAACATAAATATATATTCTCCAGCACAGATACTATTCCCAAATTTCATCGTTCTACTTTTCCAGACCATCATATTGACTATTGCGACACCATTGGCTCCATAATTGTATATCACATTTTGGAAAACAGTCCAAAGCATTTTGTTTCAGCTACAAAATGGAAAAAAATACTACCTACTATGTCTCTAAAAGTATTTTGGAAGTCCCAATACTTTAAAGACATCTCAGGGGTTCCCGAGAAAACAGTCTATTTGACCTTTTAAGTGTCAATTCCAGTAAACTGGTAGATTTTCATAATTACGCTACTATTATAGGGGCTATTCAAATTAACAAGGGATCGTTAGATGGATTTTTGGAGAGCAAGATGTCCCATTTTCTCTTTCTTCTTTCCATCTCTCTTCTTCAAGTGTGAACCCAAACAGCAAGCAATCAATCTACATCCTAGCATATCTAGCTTGGAAGTTTTTGAGATCAAGAGTGTCTTCAACTCTTAGTCTGATAGGATCTTTATGTAGTTGGCTTTCAATACCCTTATGTTTCGCCGTGCTCCCTATTCAAATTTTAAGCCCTTGTGCCAATCAATGTGATAAAATCTTTATGTAGTTAGCTTTCAATGGCTTTATGTTTCAATGTGATCCCTGTTCAAATTGTAAGCCCTTGTGCCAACCACGTTAATGCATACAGAGAGAGAGAGATATATGTATGTGGAAGACAATATGAATCAACACTAAAATTCATAGGATTTAAGAAATTAATAATACAAAGAATTAAGTACCTCTTTAAAGTTTGAACCACCAGTAATCAAAAAAAAATATCATAATCTCATGTCCACGGTATTCTAATTTTGAATGAAAATTTCAAAAAAGTATACATGATAAAAAGAATCATATGTTAGAATATTAAATAGATCCACTACACATTACTTAGCATGCAATAGTTTGTCTTCTAATTTTATTAAATTTCTTTCTTTGCCATTTCTTTTAGTGAATAATGGAGACGATAATATTCTTGTATAGGATTATACACAATGTTATCAAATTTTTACTTTTAAAATATTAATATCTATATTTGATATATATTATTGATAACAAGTCTGAAAAACTATACTGGACTCCTTTAACACCAGCATGTCCCGTACCTATAAGAAGTCCAAAATGGCCACCTAAACGTAATCAGTTGTTATGATTGGCTCCGCATACACTAATAGCTCTGGCTAAAACTATGTTACCGGGAAGAGTATACTTGCAGTTATGGTAACAGTCACTCAAGAACTAAGAAGAAAGTATGTTGAGTTGCCAATACCTTATAACCAAAAAGTTCACAGCATGCCCTTCTAAACACTGAGATTCTATCAGCAAAAACAGTCTTGTATCTGTTTCAACTTTCAAGGGTAAAATTAGAAGCTTCATTTAAGACTAATTAATTGCAACTAAATAATGCACTGGATACCAAATTCATTTCACCAGTCACCTTTCCTCACGCTTTTCCAGTGTCGCAATTTGCTCTTTCAACTGCACAATCTTTCCAGAAATATAAGAGTCTACAAATTTCCCACCATCAGCTGAAAGTTGACAGAAAAGCCAATTAGAACAAGAAGAAAGTCAGCCTGTTAATCAATCAATTGATGAGACATAGCAAACATTCAAATTGAGATTGACTTAGTAGATTGCCTAATTGAGCATATGCATTAAGGCTTTATACCTTAGTCGGGGTAAGAAACCTCCTGACTTTTTACATATAGCGCCCCCTTCTTACAGATGGATTTTCAGCCCAATAACAATGCAAATAATGAAAAGCAAATACAATGACAGAAATTGCTTCGGCTGCTTTGAACACAACTCAACAAATCCTTTGCCCAACCATTTGGGGCTGGTTGCAAGACACTACCATTCCGCCCAATCTAAAATTTCCATCTTGGGAATTAATAAACCATCTTAACTAAATTTCTCTTCACTTTACACAACCATTGCTACCATCAACTTCTTGCAACACATTCATTTCTATTTTGCTTTTCTAACGTACTAGTCATTCATCTGAATATCCAACCATGCTTTAAAGTCTAAAGCAATCAATATCTAGGCATGACCTAAGATACAAAAACTGGACATCCAGTTCAAGGGAACAACATGACAGCATAGACCAAAGTTTATGATTTGAAGACTTATCCTTAGTACCTGATTGTTTCTTTAATTCTTCAACAGCTTCCAACTTCTCCTTTGTCTTCTGTAACTCACTCTGTAAAGCTTCTATTGTTTGTTTTGCCTCGTTGTCAACTGCAAGGGTATTCACCATTCGCAAGACTTTTGTATTTGCGGATGAAAAATCACCATGACCTAACTGCAGAAGGAAAACCAATAAAAATATTTCTAACTGTACCACTCTTTGTGCTGAGCTCTTACTATTGCTACTAATACTAAAAACTTTGGAAAGACTAAAGAGCATATTCAAAAATAAATTAACTCATTCCATATGTTAACAATTTCTGATTTTTCCTGGACTTGTAACTACCTCCTTGACTACCCTGCCAAATAGTCAGCTCGCCTCATTTTTGTATTGCATTATGCACATGCTGTTTGAGCTATAAATATTTAATAGAATACATCACCTTTATCAGTTACAATAGTAATAATAATAACACTAACAATAATATTAATATAAACAACTACTCTTGCAAAAACTCCTGGCAGGGACCAGATAAAAAAACATGTATAATGTTATACAGTCATTTATGTTATTTAGTCCGATTGATTAGACATGAATTTTTTATAGAGTTACGCTATAAGAAACATATTTACACTATAAATTATCAAAGCTCATGAAGTCCTAGGACAGTGACCATGTGGCACTACCTCAAATTACTTCTTGTTGACCAATGTTTATCAAATGCAACCCAAGTTTAATAACCAACAAGATCATGCAATGTCAGCATCGGAAAACAGTGTTATGCAGCCAAATAAATCACAGCATGTTAGTATAAAAGAGGAATTTAACCACCATGTAGTCTTATTCAAAATCATGTAATGTCAATATCAAGAATGGGATCTACCATTTAATGGGATCCATTTTGAAGATCAAATGAAAAACAGTAATATTAATAGAATTGTAAATTAAAACTCAAATTACAAATTTCACAACTTCATTTCAGCTATGTCCCAAGAACAACATAGGTTAAAGGGATAAAAATCATAAGTTTAACAAAATTAAGGGAAGAAGTCAATATGTTTTCATCATCAAGCCACTCATATTGGAGTTGCTATCATTTGTGATCTATACATGCTTAAAATAAGCATCAATTGGGAAGCTCGTACAGCAAAGTCAGTTGCAAAGCCGTCCATGCTTTAATCATTTGGTTCAAGACGAAAGTATTAAGAATAGAAATACTATATGGACCATAAAATGACAAGTATGGCCAAGTATATTTAAGATTTGGAAAACTGACCTTGGATTCCAATAGTGAAATCTCAGAACGAAGACGATCGGCCTCCCTCTCCAATGACTTTATCCTTCTTGCCTCATTATTTAATCTCTCGGCGAGCATCTTTATTTCATTGTGTTGACGACTATTGACTTCTTTTAGTTCACATAAATTACCTTCCAATTCCTTGATATAGCATTCTTTCTTGGAAACAGATGATTCAAGTTCCTGCCCTTGTAAATCAAGTAACAAACAAAGCTCGTCATGAGAAACCGAATGAATAATTAAGTAAAACAGTATGGTGTTCAACAACCTGAATGAGAGTTCCATTGACTATTTCACCGCTCAATTCAACATTCTTGTCCTTTTTCAATTCTTTAACAACATTTCTTAACCAATCTCTTTCCTCAACAGCAGAAGAAAGCTGCAAAAGATAAAAATATTTTTTATTGAACAAATAAATTAAAAGAAGACAAACAAAAAGACTGTTATATAGTTGGGGAAAAAAATACTGTAGAACATACATATGTTTGTTATTAACTTCATGTAGCAAACTAACAGGAACTATATGAGTGGAATCACTTTTCTAGCTTGATGCAATTAAGGTAAAAGCAGATGCCTCCTCATTAAGTTGGAATTGTTCCTATTTCCTTTGGAGTTGCAATGTTCCCTAGAACCCAGAAGATTAGATGGCGGCATACTTATTCTTTTCCTTTGATTTTTAGAAGTTTCGGGAGAATAATGGAGTATCACAGGTGTAATGGACATTTCAGAGTATAAGACGAGATTAAATTGGATAACTAAAAATACAAGATGGGCCTCAACAATAAAGCTATGAACAAATCAAGCCACCTCATGCATCCCATTAAATGAGAAAAAGGATAGAGAAACTACTAACAACAATTATTCTATAGCAGCAAAGACGGGGAAAAGCCTCTATCCATACTTTACCATTTAAAGAGGATCTCACATTTTTCCCCAATAAGCCCATTAATTTTTAGATTTGACATACAAAATAAAATGTAGATAATATTTTGTAAAAGAAAAACCCTGCAAGTAAAACAAAGATGGACAAAAATCAGCATTCCAGATTTTGGAAACAACTTCTGGACATCAGAGGATAATATTTTGAAAAGAAAAACCATGCAAGTAAAACGAAGATGGACAAAAACCAGCATTCCAGATTTTGGAAACAACTTCTGGACATCAGAGAAGTGATGGCTGCTGATCTGCAATCTAAAATTGGTGATGTTACGAAATAATTTTTTTCTGGATCCCTGGTGGCATGGTGAGACATTAATTCAGGATTTTGGGCCAGGGTAGTCAGAACTCAGAATGTTTGATATTCCTAAAAGTGCTATTTGCTAACATCAGTGCATTAATTAAAAATGGAAATTGGAAGAAACCTGAGTATTTAGCTGAAGAAGCAATGCGGATTTGGCATCAGATCTCAAATGTGCAATTGTATCAAGGACAAGACATAATTGTTTGGAAATATGGGAACCCAGAGTTCAAATCCTTCTGGCAGGTCTGCAGAATAAGTGATCCTATAGTAAACTGGTCAAATTTTGTTTTTGTGTAATGGAGGTTCTCTTCTTTTGGTTGTAAGTTTTCTTGGTTGTTAATAAAAAGTTACTTAGAAGGTGGGTAAAAAAAAGGATGGACAAAACATCATATGACACAAGGAACATGAGCATAGTAACTCGAATAGAGAAAATAAGAGATTTATAGGAAGAAAAATAAAATAAGACATCTCAAATGAAAAAATCTAATACTTACCATTAATCCAATCCTCTTAACCTCTGATTTTGACAGTTCAGCATTCTCCTTGGCTAATGCAGCCTCAGTTTCAGCATTTTGTTTACAAAGTTCTGCAGCATCCAAGGCCACCTCCAATTGCTTTGCACGTGCATTGGCCTCGCCCATCTTCACCATGCTTTCAACCACCTCCCTGAATTGCAAAAGCAAGATCAATATAGTAAACAAGGAAACCAACTGAAATAGAAAACATGATTCAAATTTACAAAACTAGACGTAGAAGCTTCATTTTCTTTCACTTGACAAGAGATATTAATAGAAGGGTAGTAAAAAGTTGTGGATAAAAAAGTTCCTCAATAAACCAACCACTTACAGTGACAAAGAGAACAAAAAAAAGAGCTTCATCACAACATTATACAAAGGAAAAAAGTATGGTGGTATACATCTCTATTTATCATCCTAAAATTATTGACCAAAAACAGGTCACATTCTCCAAGAAAAATCTCCAAGAAAAAATATCTAACATAAACACATGCACGCATTGAGGTCCCTGGGATATCAGATCCTGTTGTACAGCAATAATATGATCGACCAGTAATGAGACAAAAGATCCAAGGTTTTCTTATAAAATACTCCCTCTGCCCAAAAAGAATGTCCTTTTGGGGGAGTAAAAATTTTTAAGGGGACATGTGGGCCATGTATTGTTACCCTGGAAAGTTACTAACTTGCCCTTTTAAGTTTTGAATATTCAAGTTTGAAATTTTAAACTTCAAGGACATATATGTAAAGATGTAAAATATATTATTTGAAAAAGGAAAGTGGACAATTATTTTGGGACAACCAAAAAAGGAAAAATGGACATTCTTTTTGGGACAAAGGGAGTAACAAATGTTAATTTGGAGTCTTTCAAAAAAAAAAATTGAGTTTCAGTCTACACTTCTCTAGTAGTTGCCCGAAAAGTAATAAAATGTAGAGAAGACTCAAGTCAATCAATAATCAATAGGTGATGTCATTTTCTTTTTGCTTTTTTCGATAACTAAAATTTCATTAAAAAACGCTCAAAGGGAAGGGCACCCAAAGGAACAACTGCACAAAATAAAAAATCACTGTACCCTCAAAGCATCCAAAAAAACAACAAAATTCTCCACAGATGTACATATTCACCCTCCAGCCCAAAAAAAAAAAAAAAAGAACTCAAAATAGAGTGCTTCAGCACCCATAACAGAGCTTCTGCATATCAGAAGATCACCTATTTCTCTCCCTTCATAAACCCCACCAAAAATAGAACAGACCAACCCTCTAAACATCTCAAAGTTGTCTGCCCACTGTACACCCCCAAGACACGAACTTCCGTAGCAGAAGCCGGCAGCACCCACTGAATCCTGCACATGACCCAAACATTCCTCGCTACTGAACAGTGCAATAAAGACGTCTCGCTGACTCTCATCACTTTTGCACATGCAGCACCAATTAGTGGAGCATAGCAATAATTTTTTTATTTTTCAAGGTGATATCATTTTTCAAAAGTTATATAACATACTTTATTTGAGGAGTCTCAAGTAGTGGACCATAACAGCAAAGCAAATATAAATAAAGTTGGAAACATACTTTTGTAAAGTTGCGAACTTGATAGGTATATCATCAGCGCATGAAACGCCAGGAATGTCTTTCATCATTAGCTTCGAGGCAGACAATTCATCTTCCAAATTCTTCATGCTCAACTGAATATCTGACAGTTTAAGTAACTCCGACTCTGCCCTCTCTCTCCGGCCCTTTTCTTCCAATAATTTCTCCTTCAGTAATTCGACGTTTTCATGAGAAGATTTTAATTTTCTTGCTTCTCGCACTTCAGATTCCTGGATTAAGTTCATACAAGTTAAGCTAATACTTGAGATTACGGTTGAAATTTTCTACAAAAATAAAAAACTGATTTATACACCATAAGTAGTTGATGTAAAACCCATTATCTCAAGGATCAATCTCAATCTCAGGATAGCTCAAAACCCAGATAACCATGGATGGAGCATGATTAGGTATTGATCTCAATAGCTCAACAACCATGATTCATGTACAACTTATTTACACGAGAACAAATTCTTTAGCTACATATACTACGCATTTCTTAGAGAACCTATATATGCAATACTGTCACTTCATCAATATGTGGATGCTACTTTAAATCAATGGCTTAAAATCACGTGGATTAATTTCATTGTGCACATCTTATTTACTTTCTTCTTTACAGGGCATTCTCCGCAACTCTGTTCAAGAGAATAGACCACTGATAATATCACAGTTTCGGGTTAAAATTTTCGGTAGGAAGTTCATGTTAAATTCACTAAAAATTAATATCGGATTTCCTACAAGATTAAATTAGCCACTTGATGGGCCTTCAATTAAATACAAACGATACTTGTAACAGCACTATGAATTTTGACTGAACTTTTGAAGTTTAAATAGTTTTGTTAATAACTTTTGAACTCGGTGTAAATATTTGCACTTCCTGACAAGCGAACATCAGCAATAAACTGAAACTTATTTAATGAAAAGCTGGCAAAGGGTAAGAAATAAGGAAACATAGGACTTCTTATCAAAGGTCCAGTGTCCTGTTATCCTGTAATTAAGATTTAGTTTTGTTGGGGCACCATTATCCGATGGCAATTAGCATACCTCAAAACCAGGACATACAATCTATTATGGGATGTTAGCCCAAACCACAGGAATACTGACTGCTTATGGACAAAATACTTCTGTGATAGAACAGCATATATAAGAAGCATACAACATGTGAATCAAAGGTTTGACTCCTCTTGGGTGCAAGCAATTCCTTGGTGGGTGGGTGCATGGGTGGGGTGGGGAGGTGAGTATCAACTAAGAAAAAAAAAAGCTGCCAGTGGCATCTTACAGATCCAGTATTCCTCATTAAGCATTACTGGCATGGTCCCATTCTGGGTGGTCAGCTCGTACAAAATAAGGCATGATACTGAACAAAGTGAAGTTAAATTAATGAGGGCATGATTTGACTTGACCTGAGGGCAGCTGCGGAACCAAATATTGGTATTCAATACACATGAATATCTGATTTATTAGACCAAAAGACTAATACATACATTAAGATAAATAGACTTTCTACAGAAAAACTATGAAATTCTAAAATTCAACAAAGAGCTATTGGTCTTTATGGAGTGGGCTAGTTTCATGTTGATTTTATCAGTAAGGAATTAGTTAGATACAGTCATTTAGCAAGTGTAATAATGTGCACGAAGAGAACTCACGTAATTCCTAAGCTCTTCTTGCAAATGCTTCACCAGAATATTGGTATCTGTAGGATGAACTTCTTGACACAAGAAACTTGATAATTTCTTCTCTACTTCACTCTTCTGATGCCAGCTCTGATGAAGCAAATAAGATAATAAAGAATTGTCATCATACTTGAATGAGTTTATGGAGTTGACAAACATGCACATGCAAATGCAAATAAAACAACATGCAATCAAAAAAAAACTAAAAAAATAAAAACAAAAATAAAAAATAAACAAAAACAGAAAAATTGTGTTGATCCACATGCAACATCAATAGCCAATTCCCACCCCACCCCCAAAAAATAAATAAATAAATAAAAAGAAGAAGAAAAAAAAGAATCATTATCCAGTATTAGTCCTGCATATGCAGGGCGTTGGGAGGGAAAGACTAACTTTTTTTTTTGATAAGTGGGAGGGAAAGACTAACTTAACCTTTAGACATGACATTGCACCGAGGTTGTTAGGAACAGGATCCTACATTGGATTGATTAGGGGGTTCGTAAGATCAGATCAACAATCATAAGACCCAACAAAATGAGCGGAAAAACTCAAACTATATTTGTAAATATAAAGTAGATAGAGAATAAATTTTAAAAAAAAAAATTTATTAGATATGAATCACAAAAGTCATAACTAACACTTTTTTAGAAGAGGTGTAAAATAAATCCACCTTAAAATAAAAAATAAAAAAGAAGCAAAGGAATTTTTTTTTTTTTTTTTTCCTAGTTGGTACTCACACACACGTCTCTTCCGAGACTTGAGCCCCTGACCTCCCTTTGGGAAGTAAGAGGCCGATACCACTGCCCGTTGGTAGCAAAGGATTTTTTGTATCATGAGCAATCCTATTATGCCACAATCCTATGGTACAATCCAGAACGATCCACCTCTCTATGAATTTTCATACAATCTGAATCAATTTGATAAGTGTGATCCTATGATCCAATTTGTAATTCTGATAATTATGTTTTTTACAAGGTGATTATTCTCAAACTCGAACCATCGTACTAACCTAACCTTGTCAAACTCAAACTACCATTTTTATGCTTATTTGCCTGAGTTTCTATCATTGCACCAAGAAATGCACATCAATTTTCAAAAAGAAAGAAATATATATATATCATGCATGGAAAAACTCAAACAGTATGTTTTGAAAAATAGGAGGAATGGAAAAGATAGACTTTGCTATGAGATTTATAATATTTAAAAAAAAAAATGGAAAGAAAAAAGAAAGAAGGGGGGAAAAAAGGATAGTGATAACCCTCCATCATGTTTGAAAAAATAGTGCAAAGAAAATAAATGAAATAATGGTTTTAAATTGTGAGGATAAAGGGTAAAAGGGGAGATCACTTGTTAAAATATATACATATATATATATACACACACACACACACACACATATAAAGTGACAGAATGGGCAATCAACGAGGGAATGCTAGATTTAGTTTTCTAATAAAAATTATTGTTCTCCGACTATGTGAGAAAATTGAAAACTGTTCAAAAGTCCATTTAGTTGACAATCTTTTAAAAATTTGTTCTCTAAAAAAAAGTCCTTTCATGGAACAGTCTTTTACAATTCTCTAAAAACTGTTTTCTGAAAATTGAACCAAACAGGCTATAGGTCCCCCATCCTTTCCTTCCAAATTCTCCCACTTTTTGGAGGGCAACCAGAAAACTATGCAAGCTGATAGGCTCTCCCTCCTATTCCTCTTATTTCCCTCCTCATTTTTTAAAACAAACAAGAAGATAAACTCTTCCTCCTCTTTTCCTCTCATGTCCCTCCAACTCCCACAGTCCAAGGTTCGACTGGTACCTCATGAAGCATCAAGTCTAAGGCTTAGACGACTCCCCTTGAGTGCAAACAAATTCTTTGGGGCCACCCCCGCAGGTGAAAGCCCGAGTTTTACCGACCCGTGTGGAAGGGGTGCTTTGCACAGTGTCCCGGGGATTAGTCGGGACAAGGCCCTGGATACCCCGGTTCCGGAAAAAGAAAAAAGAAAAAAAGAAACAAAAAAGAAACAAAAAACTTGGGCTGAAATCACTTGAGATGTGACATATGACACGTGATATTCAAAAACGAAGAAAATTATGACTTGTAAATACAAAGCAAAAAAAACTATGCCGGTGACCTGATTAAGTTGCTCCTTAAGTTCTTCAAGCTGCTCTTTCAGCAACATAGATTCTTTCTCAGCATTAGTAGCTCTGAATTCCATTCTTTCAAGCTAAGAACAAGAAAAAGAAAAAGATAATCACCAATAAATGCTTAAACACAGTCTATTTTGAATATAATTAACACATTTAGCTACTCACATTTGCACGTATTCTAGAAACAGAAAGTTCCGATTCTTTTTTCAGATGCACAAGCTCGTTATGAAGGCGTTTTCTGTCCCGTTCTATACTTTCAGAAAGCTCGCTTAGTTTTCTCTCTAAAAGGCTTGCTTTCTGTTCTGCTGAAGCTGCTGAAGACTCTGCTTTTTTGCGAAGATTCTCTTCGTTTTGGAGCTTTACCTACAAATCAGATGGCCTAAACATTATTAGAAACACAGATGACAGCAAACAAAAAAACAAAGTTATAACACTAAAGGCGAAAGATAGGCAAAGGCAACACATTAGAAATTTCAATAACACAATAATCTTAACACTCGAAACATGCCTCTGGCAACCACAACCATAAACTTAATAAAGTCAATCTTTGAACAAGAACTGTAACTTTTTATTTGGCCAGTAGCAACTAGCAATTCAGCAATTACACCTTGTCTTTTGAAAGAAGATAACCTCTAGTTAAGGAGAAAAAGGCATGGCCAAATACATACAGACGGACGGACGGACAGACAGACAGAGAGACTTTATGTAATTATCCAACTTCCCTGACTTTTTTTTTGTTTGGTTTCTTCTTTTCCTTGATTCAGTTCTGAGTTTAAATAACATAGCACTAATGTAGGTTGATTCAGTTCTGGATTCACACGGTGGGACGACCTACCAAACCAAAGAATCGGACCCATATTTGTAGAATCATCTATATTATTGTGTTTGCTCAATATATAACGGCATAACCACAATGCCTCACGTGATCTAATAAGTTCAACAGCACTGCAATGGATTAAAAAAAAAAATGTGACTCTCTTCTTCGTCAACAAACTTGAATCTCAACTCTCAGCCTCCAAAAAACAAGCCCCCTTCAAATTTAGCAAAAATCTAGAGTTTGATTTGGATGCACATACAGCTAAAGATATAGGATTAAGTTCAGATGCAAACTAAGAACTACTTAAGGTTTCTTCTTTCTGATGCAGGCTTGAGACTTATTCTTCATCGCTCAACTTGCATTCACATACATGAAAATAATTTGAATACCTCTCCCTTATCACTTCACAAACCAATAACCAAAACGAAGTCATCAACCTTTAATTAGTTGGTTCGGTTCCATGATATCCCAGTTCAATTACTAGCTGCATAAAACGTACACTAACAAGGAAATGTATCCTAGGTTACCAAAGCATAGTGGGACTCAGAGAATATCATAATCAATACAACTCAGAGCACCTAAAGGGAACCTATCAACTTTCCTATGTGATCATGCCCTAGATTGGTGTCCATTATACATACATACATATATCATTATCCTTGCCTTCATCCAAATATTAATGGGACCATACACATGTATCCTCTTTTCCATTATTTTGTATTACATGTCAGCTCTCCTACTCTATTTAATGATTTAAAGTCATTTCAAATTATTTCATTCTATGCTACTTTTGGTTATCCTGTTTGTTTTTATCTTCTATACAAACTAAATTATCTTTTGTAACCAGTGCATCAATGGACCTACGTGTATATATAAGTGTATATATACATGTAACACATATATTATGATTATGTGAGTATAAAAAATAAATAAATATACTGAAAACTTAAAACTAAAGAAAAGATAAAACTTAGCTAATCGCAGGACCATTGGTAGCCTTGTGTTTAAGTGTCCACATTACTTATAAAAATAAATAAATAAATAAGTGTTTTAACTGTCCACACAAACAATGTATATTTTTTATAGAAAGCTCAGCAAAAAGTACTAAGCATGTCCAGTCCATGTCTTTGAAAGTTAAGTTACCAACTCAAAAGTCAAACTTGCAGAGCATACAAGATTCTTCACTGAATCTATGACAAGTCGCATACGCAAATTAAGTACCCTGGGTCGTATTCTTACATCATTACATCTCAGCTATTACCAGATCCATATATTAAGATACATTTAGTAATTTTGACCCAGTTCAGATAGTACACATCTAAACATGCTAAACATTGAGATGCAACAATTTTGTAAATATCTAGGGATTGTAAGAAAAAAACATACTGAGGTCTTAAATACTTCAACTTTTTCTAATAAATGAGATCTAATAAGGTTAATCATGTTGAACCTTTTCCTGAGTTTTTGTCCACATTGCATAATTCTTTAGATTTCTCAAGTGAGCCAGATACTATGTGTTAGAAAAACATATCTGATAAATTCATAAAAAAGGTTCCAACATGATAATATTGATATGCTCATGTCCCTGTTATATGCTTTATCCTATTTTTCTAGAAACTATCAGTTTGGTGTCATGACCCATCCATACTTTTTTTCAATGAGCATGTCTTATCCATACCTTGCGATTATACGTTATTTGTCAGGATATTGAAAATTGTTTTCTTCGTCAGTTCTGCTTGGTGCATCAACCAAAGCAGGTTGCACTCTAAGGACCCTAGCAGTCTAAAATTCAAATCACAACTATGATCGTATGACCCGAAAGAAAAGTACATCTCTGCTCCATAATGCTACATTCAATGATCAGAGAAAACTATACCACCACAGCCCCATAAAATAAATATGTATGTTAAACTCTAGACTAGTAGAAAAACTATCAAAAAATATCATGACATATATAAGCTGATGATATTTACCGTGTCAATTATTCTTTAGGCAACAAAATGAAGTTTTCTATCACAGATGTTATTGACTTCATTATACCATGTCAAGATTAAGAGGCATAATATGTTCGATTAATAATTCCTATGCAACAATTACCTAGGTCCAACGAATCAACGTGATTAAGAACATAGACAGATAATTAGCCAACCAAAAAAACAAGCTTAGGCCATGTGATTCCCCCTTCCAAACAAAGCCTTGCTCCACCTATTTTTGGCGGGATTCACCACTTCTGTTTTGCATTCCGCTCTGTGTAGAACTAACTTTAATTAAATAACATGCTACCACGTCATTCCTTAAATCTCAATCCACCTATTTTTTGGCTGGTTCAACGAATCAACGTGATTAAGAACATAGACAGATAATTAGCCAACCAAAAAAACAAGCTTAGGCCATGTGATTCCCCCTTCCAAACAAAGCCTTGCTCCACCTATTTTTGGCTGGATTCACCAATTCTGTTTTGCATTCCCCTTTGTGTAGAACTAACTTTAATAAAATAACATGCTACCACGTCATTCCTTAAATCTCAATCCACTTTAATTTTAGCTTTCCCCTACGTTACCATTAATGTTAACCATTGTTATTCCTCCTTACTAGTGCAAATGTTTAAGTTGGGAATATTATAGTTTAAAAGACTGAAACTTGACATTCTATGTGCTATTTTAGCAACTAACTTGTGATCTCCTACCAATCCAACACACACCAAAAAAATAATCAAAAATAATAAAGAAGAAAAATAAACAAAGAACAAGTTTTATTGTTGAAAATCAAATGGAATAACTGGCGAAGGTGGGAAAATAATAACTTCCACTCAGGGAAACCCCAAAAATCATGAAAAGACGATCATAATTGCAGTATAAAGATAGATTGAAACTACTTATAAAAAATATATAAAGATAGATTAGTTTCCCACTCCCGTATTACCAGCAGTAAAAAAGCGTAAAATTCAAAGATTTCATTTGGTAGCAAATTAAAGAAAGAAAAATGTTGAACCTCGAGTTTGCTAAATGATTCGAATTGTTTTTTCAGTCGATCTTGAGAATCATTGATCTCCTTTAAAAGCTGCTCTTGCAGCGCTTGTTCACGCCCTTTAGCAGCTGCAATTTCTTGTTCTGCATAGAAGAATTGATCTCGATATTTCTTCCTCTCAGCTTCTGTACATAGGAATGTGGGACAGAATCAATGGGTGATACAAGCTCTGAATAATAAATGTCCTAAATGGCATAACCCAGAGAAATTAACAAGAAATAATGTATTTTAAATAACCCGAACATTGCAAGGACAACAATGGAAAGGGCAGGCAAGGGTGAAAACTCATTTGATACATGAAACACTTTAATGTAACAAAAAACTTATGCACCATAAAAAAATGCAAACGTTGATTCAATTATTGAAAGAACTGAATTTTCCAATATGTATATTCATTTTTTTCGTTCTTTTATGCTATGTTTGGTTGGAGGGAAGGATTGAGGAGGGATGGATGAGAGAGCATCCCTCCTTCCTTTGTAATTTTCTATCCGCCCAAAATTGGGGGAAGAGGAGAGAGAAAGACCGATAATAACCAACAAGTTTTTAATTTTCATTTTTAACCTTGTTGTTCCATAATTTAGAATGGATGTATAATTTTATAAAATGAGGGTATATTAATAAAAACATAGAAAAACTCTCTTTCCCTTCCTTCCAACCAAACCAAAAAAATAAAAGTGTTACCGCATCCATCCTCTCTACTATCCATTCCATCCAACCAAATAAAAAATGATGGAGACACCTTCCCTTCCTTCGGGACACCTCATCCATCCTTTCCCCTCTCCCTTCCATCCAGTTTTCCATCCCTCCAACCAAATGAAGCATTATGGTTGGGGCGTACATAGAAGGCCCATTAGCAAGCCACTGTGATAGAACCACCAAGTTTAATAAGTTGTTGGCCTACTAAGAATATGCCTACTGTTCCTATCATCCGCTCGGTAAAAGTTAGAAGATAATATACACTTGTTAATATTTATAGATAAACCAATGATGATACACCCTTTTTGAAACTTTTACACGACGAAGTGAATGATTTGGATAAAACACAATCTTTTACCCTTCAAGACATGTTCACAAATTTTGCAGAAAATAATTGTGGATGATCCTTAGTAATTATTAATCTTCCTGCGTAAACACTGTTGATATCATTTCCCACATCAGTGCATTATGCATTGTAATCAATGGAAAGAACACATGAAAAAACACGCAGTGCCACTTAATCTGAAAGGAGTGATTGTTGCAATAAAATAAATAAATAATGGATAGGAATTTCATCGGAAGAGCAAATACCAAATATAGCCTAATCATAGAAAGAAACGAGGTTAAATATCTTTGTTCAACCAATCAACATAGATAAAATAGTATTAAAGGAGTGTGACAAAGCAAACTTCAGAATTTATGTGTTCTCACTTCTCAATAACATGATGGAACATCTAATTTTGATAACTCACCTGCTTTGCACAAATCGTCATTTAGCAACTCCAGTTTAGATTTAGAGTCTCGTGCTTGCTTCTCTGCATTGCTTAATGCATCCAGGAATTCAGATTTAACCTACAACAGTGCATAGATTAGTAGCCCGTTAAACAACAAGTAAAATAAAAAAAATTAAGGCACCCAATATCTCATAAAATCAACTGAGTGTTAATCATGACAAATTTGCATCCACTATCTAAAAATTTCCAAAATAAAATACACATCCTACATCTAACTCACAAAGTTTTGCATGAAATAAAATAGATTTGAAAATTATAAAAAGTAAAGGGTATAACTATCACTCAAATTTTGACCATTGAGAAAATAGAAAAGTTATCTTATATATATATTATTGAGAAGTATGCGTAACTAAAGTTTGTGATGGAAAACTTATGAGGAGAAAGGCACAGTATAAGTCCTGTTGTAGTGTCAAAAGCATATTTGTCTAAAAAGAAAATTTTGGAATGAGATTAATGAAATTGTAACTTCTTTAAAATATCAATCAACAACTAGCATCAATTTATCAAAATAAATAAATATACAGCCAACATCAAACAATACCAAAATTACTCAAGAGTTCTCTAGGACAAACAAAATTTCCAAGGATTATTCTTGAAATAAAATTTTCATAACATGAGACATAGCTGACTCTCTGGGTGATAAAATCTAATTCCAATTACCAAGACAAATAAAAAATTGTTGGTTAAAAGTTGGAAGATACCACGTTTTCTGTAGCCCGATATCTAGTTAGTCAATTGTTTCCCACTTTCTTAATTCCAAAAATACCATTACTCTCCTACTTTATTCCAATGCACGAATTTAGAGAACAAGTGACTGTAAAATGAGATTAAATCACTTCAATGCACAAAATAAGAGGTGGCAGCAAGGGGCATGGACTCCCAAACTTTTGATATTGCATTTCATGGCATCAATAATCGAATTAGGGGACTCAAGCTATAACAGGGCACCTCCAATATTAAAATATTCACACATCAACCTCCATTCTTTAGTCTCCAAAAACACAGCTCTGCCAAGCCTGTAAATTAGAATGTTCTCACTTCTTTGTCATACAATTTGATGCGATTTCAATAAAAATTAGTGTATTTGTTGTTTGTACGGAAAATTTTGATTTATCCAGCTATTATCAGTTAGGGAACAATCCCAACTGGATTTTGTTGCACTCGGCCAGAAATAAATTAATTAATTTAATAATAAAATGTGTTCTCGTTTAAATTAACGATGCAGGCCGAAAAGGAACTCTTTCTCCATCAACATATTTTGAATTTAAACACGTGCAATAGCTGACTCGGGCTGTTTTAAAAGAATTTTATCAAAGAACCACATATTTGCTTAGCTAACTGATTTTCAAATTTGATTTGGTTCACTAAGTTGAGGACGAGCCTTGGCACAATGGTAAGGTTACACCATTGTAACCTGAAGGTCACGGGTTCCGTGTTAGAGGCTATGTTGCGTACATCTGACCCTCCCAGACCCCACAATGTTGGGAGCCTCGTGCACTAGGTTTGAAGAAGAAGATATTTGGTTCACCGAGTTATTTCAGTGACTTAAATTCCATGACTGTTAAAATCTCCCAATGTACAATTAGTTCTGGTGCCAAACTACATAAAACTTTGTGTTGTTTGTTATTTTATTTTTCCACTTCCACGTTCCATGGTTGCACAATTACACGGTAGCCATTGGACCTTTCAAATTCCAGTCCCATCTGTTAATGATAATCGAAAACATTCTTTTAGCTCTTATTCCAATGCTAATATGCTTTGCATATTCTGACTCGATTGTTGGCAATTTATTGGCTAGGTTACAGTCATTCCTTCAATCCTTCAGGATTTTCATTAATCCATGCATAATTCAGAACTAATGGCTTCTTTTATTCAGTTCTCATCAGGTTTTTAGTAATGGGCAACAATTTCTACTAGTTCTTTTTCTATCAGACAATTTAGTTCCCCAATTATGTCATAGACTTAAAAATTGCAACAAAATATTCAATGAAAAACTAATTTAGCAAAACTAACACAAATTGTATTCTGCACACCTAGTAACAAGTAAAAGGGTTACCATTAAAGCAACCTGCTTGAACGGTTTCACCATTAATGTGAACTAAAAATATACAGGGCTAAATAATCCAGCAAGTGAGCGTCCCATACACTAAAAAATCCAGCAATGGATTTTCAATATTTTATTTCAGATTGGTTATACTCGGTTAGTATATAAGAATATAACTTCGGTTTCAAAAAGCACTTTTACAAAAATTACAAAATTATAATAGAATGAATATCAATAATAGAATATGCCGCTCAACGAGTATAGCAGTTCCCATTATATATCCTGACAATTATGAATAAAATTAAGGACTCATCAAATATATATGCCAGTGTATGTATGTGTGTGTGTATGCATAATGATATAGGGCATCAATACCATCTGACGGCACTGATAAGTGCAAAGCATTTGCTCCGAATGATCGTGACATGATTCGGGCACCGGAGGGTCCTCGTAGATGACCAATCGGCGATCCGAGTTAGGGCTTTCAGGTGCCCTTGAATCGGCCCTTCTTTTCCTTGGAGGTGGGGTTCTCACAATCATATTCTCCGATAGGGTTTCTCTCTCTCTCTAGGACTCTGTTCGATTCTCTCTCTCTAAAAATCTCCTTTTCCGGTAAAGTCTCTACAGACTTCGTTTAAAATATAGGCGCCATTTTATGACTGGACTTCGTTTGCGTAGAGAGAGCTGTTTTAGGCTATGTTTGGTAGGATGGGTTTGAAGGGGGAGGATAACATTAGTTATAAGGGAAAGGGAAGGGAAGGGAAGGATAAGTTTAATCCTCAATCGTGTTTGGTTGATTAATGAAGGGAAGGGAAGGGAAGGATAACAATCATGTTTGGAAAAAGAAAGGAAAGGGAAGGATAATAAAAAAATTACTATTATGCCCTTTATATATTTTAACAGATAAATTTTTAGATTTAAATATGCAACAATATTTTTACCCCAAGATTCGGTTCTAAGGCTCAGTTTGGTAGCAAATGCCACATTTATCTTCTCTTTCCAAATCAATATTTCAAAACTCAACAGCACTTAACTAATTTATGCAGTGGTATTGAGGCTAAGCAGCCCAACTCTGCCATGAGAAAATCTGCTCGTGTGCAGCTGATTAAGAATGGGAAGAAGATCGCTGCATTTGTACCCAATGATGGTTGCTTAAACTATATTGAGAAGAATGTAAAAGTCTTCGACAAAACTAGTGTAGATCTTCTTTAATTGCTTGCTTTGTGTCGTAGGACACAAAACAAGCTAAATCTTATAAAAGGAGCCGGCTCAAGTAAAAGTGGAGGAGGCTCCAATATGAATGGAGCAGGCTCTACTTTAAGTAGAGGAGGCTCCAATATGAGTAAAGCAGGCTCCCAAAATGGGAGGCGGCTCCTTTCAAGAAAAATTGTTCTGGGAACCAATTTTATGTCATGTTAGATGGCAGAAGTAAAATAAAGAAAAAGAAATGCAATTTACCCAAAAATAAAAAATAAATAAATAAAATGTAACTCACTTTTATTCCTAAAATGAAGTTGAAATAACATTCATACTCAAGAGCACAAATGAATTTCCTATTAAAAGTTTGATTTCCTTCAACAAAAAAGATGATAAAATCAACAAAACAATAATAAAGTCAATGAAATAATCATATTGGTAAGTACTGAAACAATCAACAGATCGCATAGAAAACCCAATTACTAGATCTTCCTTCAAGCAAGTAACAACAGAGAAAGTAAAAAAATAATCATTAATTTAATCTTTAAATTTGGCTTCTTACTTTTTTGGGTGAGAGGGGTTTGATCACAAATGTAATCAATGATGATCAACAACATAAAACAGTAAGTTAGGTTCTTTCTGACTTTATTTAAAAAAAAAAAAAACTTAACAACCCAAGGCATGAAGTGGATCGAACATACAGATCCACCAATTTCTTGCAAATAATGACCCCAAATTAGGAAGTGCCGAGATATAATGGGAATAGGACACTTGAAGGGAGCCGGCTCAACCATGATCATGGAGCCGGCTCTTATGGGTTTTTGAGAGGTGCCGAGTGGAGCCGGCTCTTCCTTTTTGTAGAGCCGGCTCCACATTTTTTTTGGAGCCGCCTCAAGTAATTGCTGGAGCCGGCTCTCTTGGGCATTTGAGAAATCCCGAGAGTTGGTGTATGCAGGCCAATAATACAGGCCCTAATATAAAGAGCAAATTTGAGGGTAAAATTGGCTTAACAAATATTTTGTATGCCATTGCTTTCCCTTTCCTTCCTTATCCTCCCAATTTTGGAAGGTTAAAAAATTACTGTACGTTGCTTATAAATAACCCTCCAAACCCCTCCCTCTCCTTCCCTTTCCCTCCACTAACTTTACCCAAACACAATTTTTTTATTACCCTCCATCCCCTTCCCTTCCCTTTCCCTTCAAACCCATCCAACCAAACTGACCCTTAAAGTAGAAGAAAAGAAAGTGAAGAAGGGACCATATCAGACCATCTCCGACCCACTGCTATTTGGGCTGTCATTTTTAAAATATAACAGATGGATTTTAAATGGGCTCTCCAATGAACTGTCAATTAGCCTACCAAAATTTAACTTTGTCAATTCTAGTGTCAATTGTAACACAAGAAATGACAATTGCTAGCAACAGAGAGAGAGGAGAACGGCGGTAAGAGACGGCGACCAACGAGAGAGAGAGAGAGAGAAGAGGACTGCTGCTATTTCTCGATCAAACCCCACCACCAGCATCCCAATCAGAGCTCGACCTCAGCCCTGCCCTCCTCTCTCCCTCTCTCCCCCCTACACCATACACTCTCTCTCAAACCATAGACAACTCACCTACACCATAGCCACTCCTCCGTCGCTTTGAAACTCTAAAAGGAAGCAACAGGTATGAAACCTATATATTTGCGCACGCGCACACACCAATATATATATATATATATGTATATATATGCTTTTTGATTTAAAAAAATTCAATTTCATTCTAAAATCCGGCATGGGCTTTGTATTTGGGATCCAGATTTCTCTCTATGTGCATATGTTTTGTGTTGATTTGATTTCCATGTGTGTGTATATGTATTTTGCAGTCTTCAATTCAAATTCAGTGTTGATTTGTTGACTGGCTTCCTTTAGGTATTATTTCTGCGATTTCCCAGTCGAGTCTTGATTCTTAATGATCTGTTTTACAAGTATGTTTATTGGATAATTGCTAATTTAAGCTCCAGCCTCCTAATATGAAGTGAATTTTGGATTAATTTTCATTATGTGTATTAATATGAAGTTCTGCTAACTGTTGACAATTTCGGAAACTTCATACATGTTTTTTTTCCCATCAAATAAATGGAACTTTTGATTATCATAGTTAATTTTAAGATTTAGTAGTTTAATTTTGGTTCTTAGTCTCTCACTCATCCTCTATCTGTTTCTGTCTCTATACACACACATGGCTGATTTATTGTTTTCCCTTTGGTTGTGTTGTTAATGCTGCTCTGTTAATGAATTGGGTCTGTATTTCCCTTTGGTTGTGTTGTTAATGCTGCTCTGTTAATGAATTGGGTCTGTATTTTCTCTTCCCCTCTCATCTTCAATTCCACCTAGGATGCATAATCTACCTCTCCAGATGCATCAGTATGTTCTAATGAAAACATTAAAAAAATTGATTATTTTGATTTATATGCACTACATGAACTGACATGAGCAATCCTATCATATTAGAATACTTGGATGCTTCTTTTCTGAAATAGCATTTTGCATGAAATGCACTATTAGAGCATAATTACTAAAATATAATATTTTGACACTGTAACACTTGTCAAAATATAGATTTGGCATGCGAAAATAGCTTTTAGTATTGGAGATGCTCGGAGTTATAGTTACATACAATACCCATTTTATCCCAAAAAAAAAAAAAAAAAAAAAATTATATTTATGCCTTTGGATGGGTCGGATATGAATTGGATTGTATTAAATTTTATTCCATAAATCAATGATTATTCATGAATTAATTCATGTTTGAATTATTATTTTGTCAGGTATCCGACTGACAAAATATTTGAGATTGTATTAAATTATTATCTTGTCAAGTTTTAATTTGGAATAAAAAATTTAATTAAATTTCTTAATTGAATTCCACCAATCCCGAATTTAAAATACTCGTGTTTCTAAGCACAGTAATACTATTTTTATTTTTTTTTCGGAGAAAGTAAAGTATTGTATAACTGTTAAAAATGTACAGATGGGCCGAAGCCCCAAAATACAGCCCAAGACATCCTTGGGACCAAAAGAAAGCCCATACACCAAGGTAAAGCATTAAATTAGAACCTTAACCCTAATTCAAATTATGGTGCGTCCAAATGCAATAGTATAACTGTGAAAAATGTACATATGGGCCGAAGCCCCAAAATATAGCCCAAGGCATCCTTGGGACCAAAAGAAAGCCCATACCCTAAGGTAAAGCATACAATCAGAACCTTAACCCTAATCATATACAAAGAGCCAATAACTCAGTTGAAACGAGCACACTTGTATTTTAGATGACCTAGAATATTAATGTGTATGCAAACCAAAGTCCGGTGTGTGAAGAAGGGACGAAGCATAACAGATCCGATCCCATCGATCTATCAGTCCGATGGCAACCGAATAAACTTAGGAGGATCCCAATCAAGTTGCACTCTTCTGGTTTTAGCGGAATCATGCACCTTCCTTGTGAGTAGTCTTTGTCTAACCATATCCATAATTTGTTTTAGAATTCCATCTGTAAACGCCTTTGATTCTTGTGTTTTCTACTGTTGCGCTTAGTCCGTATTTTGTTGACCGTGGTGGAGAGTGAGAGGTTACATACAGTGGTGAAGAGGCTTCGATTATTCCACCGATCTGAAACTTGAGCAACCAACTCATTCCATGATGATAGAAGAAAATGGACTCTGCATTTATCCTGTATGGATATCCAAACTGGTCGAGTGAAATCACATTTTTTTTTAAAATGCTTATGTGATTCATCTTCTCTTTGGCATAGCAGGCATAGTTTGGGACCAGGAGCAGATCTCATACACCTACGGTCGAGAATGGAGAGTCGATTTTATGCAGCCAGCCAGAGAATGAACATACATCTCGGGACTGGGAGTGAACTCTAGACCATATGATGTCATAGTTTTTGTTGATGATGAGGTGCCAGCCAAAACATTGTGTGGGAAGCTTTATTCACTGTTGATCTTAAGTGATAAGAGTTTTTGATTGGGAAGAATGCCAGAAATCTGAAATCTGAATTGCCTCCGTAGTGGATCTTTGAGATGGAGGAATTCCACCAGTTCAATTGTCCTCCCAAAACTAAGTATGACATCCCGAACTCACCCTTTTCCTCATCATCGTCCTAGCCACTCCCCTTAGCTGTAAGATCCTATTCCAGTTGGCAGAGCACGCCTGTGGAATGTTAATTGTCCATAGACATCGATCTCTGACAACTGTAGTGGTACTTCCTTGTAAGTCAAAGTTTTTTAAGGGCAAAATGGACTTGTAAGTTTATTTCTTGTCAAGATATATCAAAAATAATAATTAAATAAAATATTAATTTTTTTAGTAGGTACACCTAAAACAATTTAATTAGATATGTACCTTTATACTTCATTAGTTAGTGCGAGGAATTCAACGTATCATTTAGGTTATGTTTGGTACAATGGAAAAGAAAAAAAATGATAAGATTAGTTAGAAGATAAA